TGGATTGTAAGCCAAGAAAGGTGCCTCCCAGGATAGTAACTATAAGAAACTGCAAGAAAATGGAGATAGAAAAATTCAAGTTGGATCTACAAAATGCTCCATGGTCTACTTGTGAAATGTTCGAAGATGTCGAAGACAAGTGTTCAGTATGGACAGATATATTCAAAGATATATGTGAAGAACATGCGCCAAAAAGAAAATTTAAGCTTCGGCGACAAACATTGCCATGGATGAGCGGTGCATTAAGACAGAAAATGAACAGGAGATACAAGGCTTTGCAGAAAGCAAAGAAAGAAAGAAACAACGAAGGACTGTGGAAAGAATACCGGAAGTTGAGGAATGAGGTGACAGCAGAATTAAGGAGAGCTAAATCAACCTACTTTGCGGAGCTTGCAAATTGTCAAAAAATAAACACACGGAAGTATTGGAAAATTCTAAATCAAGCCAGTGGGAAGGAATCAAACATGAAGACCATTCGTGCGATTAAGTCAGGTACTGGCGCATTGGTCACAAATGATAGAGAGATAGCAAATATATTGAATAAGCATTTCGCAACTACAGGAGAAAATTTTGTTAGCAGGTCTCTTAAACAGCCACTACGTGCCAACAGTAGAGCTCATTGATCGAATATCCCCAACCGTTATGGAAATTGAAATACAGGAAGAGAATGTAAAAGAGAACTTGTTAAGGCTCAATACACATAAAGCGACTGGCCCAGATGACTTGCCACCGATTTTGCTGAGAGCAGCTGCCGAAGAAATTGCACCATCATTGACAGATATTTTCTAAACAAGTGCAAGGACTGCTACTCTACCCAGTTTGTGGAAGGTGGCAAGAATAGCAGCAGCACATAAAAAAGATGATGAGACAGACAGAGATAATTATAGACCATTATCCATGCTGTGCACTCCAAGCAAATTAATGGAGAAGGAAGTACACAAAACCTTAGTTAACCATATTGACATCAATCCTGGTTTACTAAATCCAAATCAGTGGGCATACAGGAAAAATAGTTCAACGGAAGCATTGTTGTTACATAGGACAGAGATATGGAGGAAAGCAGTCGACAGCAATAGAGTGGTGGGAGTTGTCTTTATCGACTTTAAGAAGGCTTTTGACTCTGTCCCTCATCACCAACTACTGCTAAAGTTACAGCGGGCAGGCATCTCTGGAAATTTGTTGTTGTGGATCCGAAACTACCTCTGTAACCGACGCCAATTCACTAAAATAGGACTGTGCGATTCTGAAAGAGAGGGTGTTGACTACGGGGTGCCACAAGGATCAGTCCTGGGGCCCTATTATTCGCACTCTTTTGCGATGATCTTCCGGACTGTGCACAAAATAGGACTGTGCGATTCTGAAAGAGAGGGTGTTGACTACGGGGTGCCACAAGGATCAGTCCTGGGGCCCCTATTATTCTCACTCTTTTGCGATGATCTTCCGGACTGTGCACGGCACGATGATGAAGAATTAGAAATGTACGCCGATGATACGACCTTGACTAGTATAGGCGAAACAGTTGACCAAGTGATCTTCAAACTAAATGAGACATTAGGCCTGGTGAGTGAATGGTGTTACAAAAACGGAATGACGGTCCATCCAGCCAAAACAGAAGCCATGCTCATTAAATGCGGAACTTTCGTAGGTCCTCTACCACCAGTACAGTTAGATGGTAGTTTAGTGAAGTGGGTAAAGAAGTCAAAATCTCTAGGAGTGACTTTGGACAATAAGCTGAAATGGAATGGACACAGAGAAAATGTCAAACTTGCATTCGTCAGGAAATTAAATTTGTTAAAATCAATGGGTTTCCTTCCAAAACATATGCTGGAAGATTTTTACTGGAAAGAAATCTTTCCATCCATAACATACTGCATTCTTGTTTGGGGAAACTGTGGTAAAACACATTTCAAAGCCTTGGAAAGGTTGCACACAAGAGCAGCACGTATAATCTACAGGTTGAATTGGGACATACCATGCCAATAAGTGATACATAAAACTGGCTGGAAAACTCTGAGCAGTACGTATAAGCAAAGAGTATTAAGCACTGTTCACAAATGTTGTTACGGTGAGGCACCAGACCAACTCTGTTAGAATATAATTACAAAGAAAGATAACAATTTAAGAGGATCAGAAAAGTTGGTTATTCCAAGACCAGAAACCAACTTCCTGCATAAGTCAGTAACATTTAGGGGTCCGGAGCGGTATTGTGGAACAAACTACCGACAAATCTTAAAAACGAGGAACAACATAATAATTTTAAAATGTTGATACGGCAACAAGATGTTGAGGCAATGGATTTTACCTTCTACACAAACAATAATGATCTGAACTATATCTATTTTTAAACTTTTCTAGTCATATTCTTACTATATATTCTTACTATTATTATTCTTACGATATTTAATTTATATATAAACTATATATATTAACATAGCATATGTAAATAGATTTTACTATACTGGTAAACACACGACCACATCAGCAATTTGCTGCTATTTTTATATCGTGTTTAAATAAATGTTTTTTAATTGAATTGAATTGTATCATATGGAGAATTGGTGTATAGACTCGCAATTAATTTGGCACTCAAAACGAAGTATTTTTCAATGCTCGTTTTTTCATTAGAAACCTTTCAGAAATAGCTTTTAAAAAAACCAAACCTGGTCAATTTCTGTTTTGTCTTGATCGTGCATTCGTGCGGTTGCGTCCACGTACTGCACTGGTCCCGCAAATATCCCGCATTCTACTGTAGGGAGTCTCCCTAAGCAATGCCTTTTGTCCATTTAGGACGGCTTAAGAAAATTATGATGTTAGGGAATACAATTTTATTTATTTATTTGTGTGTGTGTTTATTCAACTTTGCCTGATAAAATTACACGAATGACAGCACACAATACATGCATGGTCGGTAATGGTCGTAATGCGCTCCGCACGTGTTGCGGAGTAAACTCCAAAAACACACTATGGCAAGATACTACAATCGCGTGCAAAAATGATGAGACTTTTCGCATTTTTGGCCATTTTAAAGTACGTCCGCTTGCCCCAATGATCAATGTTGGAAAAAGTCGGTTGAATCTAGCCTTCTACGCAGGCACCTCGTAGTTCACGTACTTCAGAAAGTCGGTGAGATGCCTGCCAAAACCAACACCGCGGAAAAACGTCTGCGCATGCGTCAACCTTACCTGTAATAGTATTGCGAACTTGATGAGAAGCTGTTCCGAACGTTTCCGAAGGCTCAAAATGGCGGTAAAAGGAGTGACTTCATTGTGCGTCTTTACAGCCAGATTTCGAGCGCAAAAATAAACATGTCATTCTAAAAACTAGGAATAAATACAGCCAGAAGGTTCAAGAAATTGTATTGTACAAGAACATGAACTAAAGGTGATTGTTGACAAATTTATCGTCTGAAACATTTTGTTTATCAACTAAGCAACGATAATTTCCGAATTTTCGTTTGAGATACATTTCTTTAAAAAAAACAGTGTCGCCAAATATAAAAAATTTTCGTGTTCACAATAATTAAACTTTAGAATTCATTCTACAATTAGAGTTGGTTAAGAAGCTTAACTTCTCGAGAGTTTTCTTAACTTTTGAGTTTGAATTTTTGTTTTGAATAATTTTGCAAAAATTTTCGAAGTCGTGTCCATTAAAATGAACAATTTTTTACATGAATTATATTTCATATCATACTTTAAATGCCAGGACGCTTTCAATTAATGTCTAGTCTACCCATTTGCTATATTTTCTCGTTTGTTTTACTAATTTTTGACCAATTAATAAGCATGTTTTTGTTTTAGAAATTGATATTCAAATTCCCCGCCATATTTTCATAATTTGGTGCATGCGCAGACGTTTTTCCGCGGTGTTGCCAAAACCCGACATAGTTGAGCCGTTCTGCGCATCTTTCCTGCGCAGCGATTTCGTCTCTAGGGTATGCACGTGGGGAGGATTTGTCATCCAAGATGGCGGATTGCATGGGGTGAAGAATCATGAGAATTAGTGAATTTATATTAATACGCTCGCTAAAGGCGGCTAAACGATTAAGAATACAGCTTTTGTGGACAATTTGAAAGAATCTTAACCCGGAAATTAAAATTGTCATCAAATAATTCACATGTTGTCAGTTGACATATTGCCGTGAGATAATGCCTGAATTCGTGAGTCACACGGGAAATCCGTGAGAGTTGGCAGGTCTGCATATATTTTTGTATATCTGGGGCCCGTTGTATAAAAAAGTGATTAAAGTTAACTATAGTTAGTGGAAACGTCATCCAATAAGAAGCGCACATTTGAGAGTTAATCACTATTTAACTACAAAATAGTCATTAAAAAAGTGATTAAGAGTTTTATACAACCGGCCCCTGTAGATGAAAAACATCAAGGTTGACATATATTTTTGTATAAGCTGTAGATAGAAATAGAAATATTGTTGTAATCTTTTAAGCTCTAAAAAATGTAGACTTTGTGTTAATATCACAATGAAATGCATTTAATTTAATTTAATATAATATTTTTTTGGATCAATTTGTGTTTTAAATACAGTCGAACCTCTATTAAGCGGCCACCCTCGGGGATCGGCTTTGTGGCCGCTTTAATAGAGGTGGCCGCTAAATAGAGGTACGCAAATAATAGACCCTGTGCGTAGTCAAATGTCTATTTTTAATTATAAATCACAGAATACAATAGTGAGTAGACTTTAGAAATATCAGCATTATCAATTATTAATTTTTGCAAATAATGCAAATTAGCTCGACTTTTATTTGCGGCTCTCTTGACAAGGTGTTGCGCCAAGAGAATCCTGCAGGGAGGCCGTTTAATAAAGGTAAAACTTAACATAAAACATCATTTGAGACCGCTCTTTGAGTGGCCGCGGCCGCTTAATAGAGGTGGTCGTTTAATAGAGGGACAGTTTATAGTATTTGTATTACAAACATTTCGGGACTTCGATATGGATATGTGGCCGTTTAATAGAGGGTGGCCGCTTAATGGAGGGCCGCTTAATAGAGGTTTGACTGTAATTGTTAATGTCTGGCTGGCATAATTATTTAAAATAATACAATTATCATGTACAGTTAGTTCAGGATGTGTATTAATGTAACAAGTTAAAATATATTTCAGGATGATAATTTTGGAACAAGGCAAGAGCCAGATTGATTTGAGTGAAAAAGCCTTGGTCTGGTGTTTGGTTGTCAGATTGGCCGAGTATGCCAATCCAAGGTAACGCCCATTACCAGAAATATGGGACATTTTGCGCCCGCGTTTGTAGGCAGCGGCTAATCGCTTGAAAAATCAAAATGGCGACTCGAACTGCCAAAGGCAAAGGACGTGTGCCATTCCTTACGAAGTAGTTCTTCGATACGTTGGTTACCGGGTTTTAAAGCAAACCATTTGTCTGGCACAATTAAATTAAATAAGTCAACATAATTTACATTTTCACAGGAAGTTGTTTCGCGAATATTTTTCCATACATTAAGCAGTGGCCATGGAATCTCCACACAAAAGAGAATCTTGTTAAATAAGTCCACTTGTTGCCTAACATAAGTAAGAGGAGCTT